AGAATTTGGCAGACTTGGCTTCTCCACTTGTTTCCTTATTATTCATGCTGGGAAACATGGATGCTTCTCATAGTCCTGTTTGTTTTTCTCATTTTCATGGGGTGGTTTGTTTTCCTCATCGATAGGAAGATTTCAAATTGATGAAAGTAGTGTAATTCCTGTTGCTCCTTTTTCTTGGAAACTTTACTCAGAAGAAGATTGTGTTTACTATTATTTCCTTTCTCCATGTCAATTTCTTAATTCTCCAGTATATTTCTGATGTTCTTAGTGCAACTTTTCCTTCCAAATTTCAAGCCATCGAGTTTGTATGTGCTAGAGCTGGCCCAAGGCGAGCATGTAAATTATTCTTCAGATTGTTCCTTTTCTTTCAAGGGAAATGTGTATCTCTGTAATCAGTGGTCTTAAACTTTCACAAGGAAGCCAACGCCACCTAGTTTAGGATCAAGGCTGCTTGTTTCTCGTGGGAAACCGATGCTGACTAGTTTACAGATCGAGGCTCGGTTGTTGTTGTTTTGTTTCTCAAAGTAAAAAATTTTAGTTGTATTTACATGATTTCGTTTAATCAAGTTTATATGATTCTATGATTCGATTTAATCAGGTTTCTTGTTTTATTCAATTAAAAATTTCACAAAGAAAGTTGGAAGATATGATTCTTTTTCTAGAAAAAAAAAGAGATTGAAAACTAGTATGTTAGAGTATTCAGTTTTACCAGGTTTCATATCTGACACTCGGCCAAGAGAATGTTGGAAAATATGTTTTTTTGAATAAAAAAACTAGGATGTTAATATATTTGGTTTAATTGGGTTTTATGTCTTATTTAACTAAAGACTTGATGAATAGAAGATACAATTTTTTTAAAAAAGAAATAAAAAATAGAAACAAATTAGCATGTTAGAGCATGTGGTCCATGAATATATATATATATATTATCCTTGAGAATGCATGATAATATCCTTAATGTGTTGGCATTGATTGCAATTTCATGCAAAAGTTGACCAAGCAATAGCGACAGGAGAAGAGATCGTCACCTGAGAAGGCAAAGATGGGAAACGTTATCGTTATCGTCTGTGGGTGTTGCGAGCAAAATTCTCCAGCAGTCCTACTCTCACATTAATCATGCAGACTAATTAAAATTGACTTGCTCCATCGCCATTTATTTATTTCTGTTGACGATTGAGGTGTTGTCTGGAGAGTAGTTAGCTGTGAAAGGATAGATCCACACCGAATTGGAAAAGGCATGCAGGATAACTTTGAGATGCCTGCTTGTTTTTATTCCCCCATTGATCATTCATGGCCCCCGCCTGGCCAGTTGATTCATCCAAGAAATTTAAGATCCAAAATCTAATTCAAATTAAATTTCAAGTTTAATAAAAAAAAATATTAATCTTGTAAAACTTCATTGAATCCAGTCGGTTTTTTAGTGATCTAGTCAAAATCTTGCTAAGTCTATTTAATAATTTTTTTAAAAATACAATAATATAATTTTAATAAAAATAATTAATCTAAATTTACTTGATAATTTAACTATTCATGTTTTTTTTTTTTACCGAATAATCTCTGAATGAAGTCCTATAACTTTTGTTATAATCTAAGAATACAATGTAAAAAATAATAATCTTGTGAATGGATTAGCTCGGAGGTTATGATCTTAAATAATTTATTTTAAATCCAAGAACAAATCAAAATCTAATCAAGATTTTTAGTATAGGATATATCCAGTCTCATACAGTCAGCATACAATCAGCTATAATATTTTAATGTATACTGGATTCGTCATGTTCTAGGCAAAGTAAGAAAAATAAGACGCCATCCCTTCTAGAATATGCACTATATATATGTTGACTAATATAAAGAACTCATATTGAATATTTTATTAAAATAATAATGTTTTGTTACACATTTCTTACAGGCAGATATGGATGCCAACAACATCTTTTTATTACACTATTATTATTGTCGTGGTTATGTTTCACACCACAATCTATGAGTAGGATTTGATGTCTAATTAAATTGAGTGTTTTATTTTCATTATTTTTTTCAAAAAATATTCATTGTACATAGATTCATAGATTATTTTTTATATTTTATTTAAAATCTTCACAATTCACAGGTAGAAGCAGCAAAATCATCATCATTGATTTTTTTAATTTTTTTTTTATCTTGAGGTAAAAAATCCCAAATGAGAGCACCCAAATTGCCAAACCTTAGTTTAAAATCCTTAATTAATCAAGAGATCCAAACTCTTCACTAGACTCTATCTACAACATATATTTGATTGCTAAAATTAATAGGGATTTTCTCAATTATTCTCTTGAAGTTGCACCCCTCAAGCTGTCCTTCGAGGAGAACATTTTGGGAAAGCTAAATATAATTCTTTGATGGGTTGGGCCTCATACTTTCTTTCACAGGCCTCTATTTTAACCCACTATCTAGGCTCTATAGCCTAGATGGGATACGGGCTTAGACTCATATAATATTTTGAGCTTTCCTACCCAGTCCGATCCAAAATTAACTGATGTTTTAAGTTGTGGCTGGGTGGTGGCCCATAGACCCGTTAATGGGAATGTGGGCTGGGTTAAGGACCCAATCACCATGCCTAAGGCTCAAGGGATTAGCGCCATCTCGACGCTGGCATACACTCCTCGGTAAGTTAACCCTTATTCTTTCACATTCCACTCTGTGAAAGAAAGCCAGCCTGAGCCGCACAAGATGTAGATGGTGTCTGAAATTGTTTTTAGATCGTTTTTAAAAGCATGTTCTGCACGAGAAAAATATTAAATTTATATGTTATGTTTTTCTTTTTATATAATTCTAATGCATTAATATTAAAAATAAAAAATATTTTAATATATTTAAAATCCAAAAATTATTTTAAAAAGCATTTTATGTCATAATAACACACATAATGTGCACCCTCACTAGCTCGAAGTCTGTCGAGCATAATTTCTGTCAAAAATGGGTCTAATATTATACATCAAGGGGACAAAACATACACTCCATCAAGGGTACAAGCTTTTTCTTGGAGATTGTTTTTTACAAATATATAGACACCCACACACACTACTATCATGTTTTGCGTGCGTGCTAAGCAAGAGCTACTCGTGAAGTTATTTCATTCGTTCGTGTCATCTGAAAATTCCCGTGTACCAAAACTATCAAACAAGGGCATTTCAAAACTATTGAATATGCATTAAGTATGCATTTTATAAGATATTTTCTTATACATGTCATATATCTTCAAAGTATACTAAATTAGTAAATAATAATATTTTCATGTGCATATAAATACTTTATCAACACTGATGAATCAATATATTTTTAATATGTTTATTTAAAAATTCATAACTAAAAAGATTAAAGAAAAGATAATAACTCATTATATTTAGGTTTAGAGGGCACCATGTCTAGTTGTCATGGGCCTGATATTATTTTCAGATCTAATATTTTTGAATTTAGCTATATATTAAGCCTAAATAAATGTGAGTGGTGAGATGCTAAACTCAATTTTTTTAGATTTAGTTTATATGGATTTAGCACGATATCAGATCCAACATCCTTGAGTTCAACTATGTGCTAAGCTTAAGAGCATATAAATATAGCGAGATGTCAGATGCAACATCATTGGGTACAACAAATCACTGAGCCCAAAGGCATATAGGTTTGACAATGTGCTAGACCCAAAAATATTTGGGTTCAATTACATGCTAAGCCTAATAACATCTGAATTTAGCACGGTGTTAAAACCCACATTTCCTTGAGGTCAGCTACGAACTGAACATTAGTATATTTGGGCCTAACAAAACGTTAAGACCTAGCTGCCTTGAGTTCAACTACATGTTGAGCTTAAGTGCATGTGGGTCTGCCTAAGTGCAACACCCAACATCAATGGATTTAACTATGCGTTGAGCCTAAATACATATGATTTTCAAAAGGTGCCATACGTAAATATCATTGGGTTCAACTATGCGATAATCCTAAATATATGTGGAATATGGCAAGATACCGAACTCAAATATCCTTGGGTTCCACCACACGTTGAGTCCAAATGTACATAGGTATAGCAAGGTATCAAACTCAACTATTTTAGGTTTAACTACATGTTAAACCCAAGTGGATATGGGTCTAGCAAGACATCAAGACTAAATTGTGTTGAGTTTAGCTACGCGCTAAACTTAAATACATATGAGTTTAACAAGTTATTGAGCCCGAAGTATATATGAATCTAACAAGGTGCCAAACCCAACTGCCTTGGGTTGAGTTACACGCTAAACCTAAGTGCATATAGGTTTGGCAAGATGCTAAGGTCGAACTATCTTGGATTTAGCTATGCATTGAGTTCAAGTGCATATGAGTTTAGTTAGGTGGTAGGCCTATTATCCTTGAGTTTGAAGTCATTCCAAATCCAATATATACAAAGATAATAATTTTTTAGACCCCAGGGTCGCATGGTTTTGTTCATTCATTTTTATAGATTTTTAATATAAAATATTAAAAGTTAAAAATGATAATTTTTTTATATTCATAAGTGCATAAAAAGTCTATAAATGACTTCTTGTATTTTTATCAATATTAATTTTCTGCAACGAATATCTATTACTCATTAATATTATATAAGTGATATTTATCTTTTATTAATGTTATTAAAATAAAATGATGTTTCAATCCCTTCATTAAAAAAATATGACAAAATTCAGAGACTATATATACTCTTTGAGCTATTTAAGTAAATAATTTATACTTTTTTTTTATATTCTTATTATATAAAGCATTTGTCATACATTATCAAACACTCTTGTTTTAAAAAATTTAAAGATGATTTTTTTATTTATTATAATTTTTTATAAAAATTTATTAATTTTATTATTAAAAGAATCTTTAAATTAAAAAAAAACTATTTTACAGGTATTTGAGTTTTTTTTTTTTATCACTAATCAATAGTGATCTTCTATCACCAATAGTAAGTTTCTTGAACTTTAGGCAAGATTTAGTTGGGTGCTTGGATCATCAAGCTACTTGTCATCTCAGAAACACTACCTTTTCCAAGTAGCAAAAGCAGGAAAGCATGTAACCAGAAAAACAAAAGAAAAGAAAGAAGACGTGTTCCTTAAGTTAGTCCTCAAAACCATTTTTTTTTTTTTTAACAACGATAGTCCGAGTTCCTTAATAACACCTTTGTCAGTGACCTGTAATATCTTGATTGGATTACCGCTAAATAGGAAGAAACAAAGCAACCATCAGTTTGACATTTAATTGTGCTAGAAAGAAAGGAAAAAAGAGAGAAGGAGAAAGAAGAAAGAAGAAAGAACAGAGCAGCTGAGCTTGAGTGGATTAATGCTGACCTGCTGTATTTATTTACTAATTTAAGATTTCAACATCAACCCATTTCAAAACATGTCCAGGTAATTTCTGGGCTCGATTTCAATTCTCATAAAGCTTTCAACTTTCATCTACCACTTCAGTTTTTATGGAGTTTGAAAGGTTTTTAAATTTTTTCTTTCCTGTTCTCGTTCAATAGATATATATAAGAAGATTTGATTCAATCATGGAATTAATTTATCTTTTTTTTTAAGGTCCTTCATGTTTGACAAAGTAACAATACAGTGCTGAATTTGACCAAAAGATGGTAAAGTAATTTTGGGTTCTGTCTTAGTACTTGTTTGGTTTGCCTTAATTTCTTTTAAAGCAGTAGCTATGTATTTTTGGTGCTTCAGAATTTCATAGCTGGAGCTTTTAAACCACCATGTAGTGTTTCTATCATTTTTGCTGATGGAAGAACACGCAAACAGGTACCTTGTTAATCTGGTAAAATTGCTCAAGTCTTCTGCTTTTTCTGTATTTTTATTATTGTCAAACATTTACGTTTTCTTTAATTGTTACTGTATTATAATGTGAGGAATTCTGTTGTTATTCGTATAGAGATGGAGGCTAAAGCCTTGTGTTTACTAAATTTGATTTCTAGGATTTTTGATGTCTGGATTAGGATATGAATGTAAGAACATAACAGAAGGGCCTTATGGGCCACTTGATTTCTAGGTGACACATGAATCCAACCACCATTGCAAAAATGCTGACTAGTGGGAAATGCGAGGCAAATATTTTTTGGGCAATAAGTCTGAAAGTAATTTTATTTTTCCCTGTTTAGCAGTTGGGATGAATTTATAGCCTTGCTTAAAAGGTCTTCTCTCTCACATCATTTCAGTCATGTTGGTTATATTTTTTTCCCCCAAAATTGAAGTAACTTTGTATGAAAATCCATTACATCAATGGCTACTCTAACATATTGAGCTCAATGAAAGGGTTGATATTCTAAACATCATATGTGGTCAGACATCAGTTAAGCAATTGGGCGACAACATTGGGTGGTGTTCTTTATGAGATAGAATATGGAGTTTGGTTAAGTGAACTAATGAGTTTTTCCTAGATATGTTTGCACGAAGTGAAATATTGGATTTTGTTGAGAGGCTGTCAAAAAATCATTTCAGTCAAGCAGATAACTATTGCTTCTATGTGTTTCACTAGGTTCCATTAAAGAAGGAAAATGGCCAAACGGCCATGGTTCCTCTCTTCCAAAGTCAAGAAAACATTGTTGGGGAGGTAATTACTGAATTTTTGGTTTTTTTCTTGATCTTACAAGTTACATATTTGGTGATGTTGTCATTGAGACTGAAATTGAATTTTATTGTTGCTATATTCATATTCAGGTTGTTATAGAACCAGTTCACGGGAAGAAGGTTGAACACAATGGTGTTAAAATCGAGCTGCTTGGTCAAATAGGTGTGTTGAATTTGCTTCCATTTCTGATATTTAAATCTTGTATTTTATATCTGGAAGATCACGTTCATATTGTTATTATTATTATCTATTCAATTATGTGGAAATTCTAACATAAACGAGATAAGTAAAGATAAGATCTCGAAGCAGGCAATGCTGGAAATCTACATGCTGAATTATTTGGGAGTTGTAATGCTTGTGTCTAATTTAGGATTTGAAAGCATTATCAATGCCCTTAAAAGTTGGAAGAGAAGTGAAAAGAAAGCAATGTTGAGAGCTTCTTCTTCCTGCATAAGTTGTCCAGCCTATAACTGATCTCTATAGCTTGTCATTGGTCTCACTATTTATGTTAACAGAGTCTCTTTGTGTTGTACTTGAGATTTTGGGTTAAATGCTGTCTCCACCAAAGGGTGGGTGACTCAAGGGAAGAATGGTGGCTATCTCTTATTGTCAAACACAAAATAGTAACATTTAAGAAAGACTGTTTGAATTGGAGAAGAATATAAAATGATATATAAGAAAAGACTTAAGGAGACAAAAAAAGCAGATAAAAAGGTAGAATACATCCGTTATGCATTTATGATTAAAAAAATGACATAATAAATAATTTGATAGAACTCTTTTCCCTTTCTTGTTTTCTTTGTAACTGATTGCTTTCCTTTGGGGTAGCTATTGGGAGAATATTTATTTGATTCAAGTTAACATTAAATTGTAGGACTACATTTATTGGCTTATCACATGAGGAAATCACATTTCAGAGTATGACATATTTCTTCCCCTCTTTGCAGAATTGTATTTTGATCGAGGCAACTATTATGATTTTACATCTCTTGGTGAGTGCACCTAAACTTTTATTCTTGTAGAATTGGTCACTTAATGAAGGGCTATATATGGTATAACATGTTTAGCCATCAATTTTTTTAGTTTATATATATGTATAATAGTTTCATTATTTTCAAATAAATGGTAAATTTAAATTTTTGTCGTACCTTCAATTAGTTTTGTGGTTGGTGTTGTTAATCAATTAGTGAAGGTAGTTTTTTTTTATCCATGATGAACTCTTATCCTGTCATGTGCAGTGCGTGAACTTGATGTACCTGGAGAATTATATGAAAGAAAGACATATCCCTTTGAATTTTCTACTGTGGAAATGCCGTATGAGTCCTACAATGGAGTGAATGTGAGGCTTAGGTAGGGTATCCTTTTGAATTGCACTGGTTTAATATTTTGTAATTGATAGTAATTTGTAAGCATGCATGGGGGTGTTTCCCAACACCGCAATCAAACCCTAATTTTCATTGGAAGACCAATGATCAAACTTGCACCCGGCAATACTCTTGCCTATGCTTGTCAGGCTAGATATGCAAACCCCTTGTTTCTTCATCTGTTTCCGCTTTTTAACCTTCACTGTTCATAGATTCTTATGATTTGCAAAGGGTTACCTGATCCTCTCTCTTCTTGTTAAATATTCAATGTGAAAGAATTCTCATGGTTTGTTATTTGCTACTGAATGATTTTTCGTCGTTCCATAATTGCTGATTCTCTAGGCATTAACACACACACGGACGTGTAAGAAAACCAGATTTTGGCTGATTGGTTATGCATATAAACTTTGTGTAGAAAGATCATTCTTGCCTGTTTTAATACTGGAGCTAGAGCATTTACCTGTAGGTTTTTTAGCAGAATTTTATTTATTTAAAGACAGCTGGATGTTATGCGGGGAAAAAACTATAATATATTAGTAGAATTTTTTTGAGATCATGAGAGGCATATGGCCATTTTGATTTTTGTGCTCCCTGTGAGTTCGAAGAGATTTTCACCATTGCATTCTTTGTACTTTTAGATTAGACTGCAAACAGTATTAGAAATTATAATGGCTTTTGTTGTATAATTTTGAAATTTGAAACTAAAATAATTTTTATTTTTCAAAAAGCATAAAAGCCAGCACAAGATTTATTGTTGTTTACAGGTATATATTGAAAGTGACAATCAGTCGAAATTATGTCAGCAACATTGTCGAGAACCAGGATTTTGTGGTAACAATGAATAATTGCTCTGTTGTTGTTATGCTTGTCATATTAGCAAATGATGCAACACACAACTTTTATATATCTATCTATATATGCTTTTGTGTTATTTCTTGATTTAAGAATATGGTTTGCGTTACATGGGAGACATTAATGTGTTCGAATAGCAACTTGCAGGATTTTCTATCTTATTCACCACTTTCATATTTCTTGAGCACTTTCATGTGCCTCAAGTTGGAAGAAGTTAATCAGTTAGACCATTCATCATTATTATGCAGTCTGTAGGAAAAAAAGGGGTTTTGAGGGGGGGGGGGGGGTCTGCAAACCCAATTTAT